GATCTGCCTGTTCTGCTCCCCACTCTGTCTCTGGTGAAGCCTCTCACCACCCCTGAGCCTATGGCCTGTACCCCAGTTCTGTATGCACAAATAAAAATATTAAAAAAAAAATTAAAAAAAAAACATATTATTTAATATATATATAACTGAGTCTTTGCCTCGTGAAGAATCTCACCTTATGCCACTGAAAGGGGAGCTCTGGTGAAGCCTTTCCCAGAGTGAACCCAAGAACCCCAAACTCAAAAACGACATCATTTGGGCACCCATCGTGGGGCATCGTGGCCTTGCTAAGACTTCCAGATTCTCTACCGTACTCGTATGCTCTTTTTCTGAGAGGAGTTGGTGTTTGGCAACTGCCTGGCTGTCCTGTGCAGCCAAGGCTGTTCTTTGGAGAATCCTAAAACGTGCAGAAACAGCCTTCCAGTTGCCTTCAGCCCGACCAGGTGAATCTTTCTGCTGCACCACCTTGCTAATCTCAGTGGAGCTGCCACTCCCGTTCTTCCTCGGGAAGAGAGCTGGCTCCTGAGTTCTATTTTCAACCAGGTCTCATTCATGCCGCAAAAAATAGTGGGCATGGGTCAGCCATGTAAGAGGCGACTAGGGCCAGCTGCCACTTTCTAGAAGACTCCCATAACAGGGTTAGCTGGTGTGCACCCCGGGTTAGTTCTAGTCCTGCCAGCCAGAAGACAAAGGGTGCCGCAACCAGGAACTCATAGTAAGCATTTCACATGTCCCATCTGCAGCTAGCCACCTTTCATGATTAAAATTGAGACCTGGACCTGCTCTCTACAACCTCTTATCACTGCTCTTTCCTAACCAGACTGTACCTTTCACTGTTGCCTTTGTCATGGTGATCAACTGCAACTGTGAACTGTGAGTAGCCAGCAACCCAGACAGCCTTTTCTTACTCGGGTGGATCTCCCCCTCTGGAAGCAAATATTCTCCCCTTGTTGTGGGGACCCGATTTCTTCTCCTTGTGTAAGTGGACCCAAGCCTTTAACTCAAAATTCAACTTGAAACGTTCTTGCTATATCTGCTTAAGGCAAATCCAGAACTGGGATTCTGTTCCTGCACTTTAAATTATCTTCTTAGATGTCATAGGGATTCTTTGCTAACTGGGATTGAGCTCAACCTTATGTGGACCAAATGCAAGCTATCTTTCTTGAGAAAAAACTTTCTAGACAAAAAGTCTGTCAGTCTTTCCACCCAGAAAAGAGAATGCAAGGAACAGAAAGTAAGTAGGGGTCTGGGGATCCCCAGGCCCAGGGGAATTCCTCCTTAAGATGAGGATGCTCACAAAGTAGGAGCACTCCCTGGGGGCATGCTCAGGGCTGTCCTCACTCCTTCAGGTTCTCATCTGGGATGAGGTCTGTTCCCTCAGACTACTCTGGGCTCTCTCTGACTCACTTTTGTAATTCTAGCTGAAGTCCTTCATATTAACCCAAAAAGGCATAACCACCCTGGCTGACAATGGGACTCCCCATTGTTCTCAGCTACTGGACCTTTGCTCCAGTGCTGAGGTCACTGGTATATCCACCACCATCCAGCTAGGGGGAACTGTTTTTTGTATTCCATCTTGATATAGTCTTTGGCCTAGACAATAGTAAAAATCTCTTATTTTGCTGTGTCTTCTAAGGTCTGATTGGTTTGTTTCAAATAAGACTGTCAAATTATTTTGGCCTTACTAACAAGGCTATATAGAGTGCTACATTGGTTAAAAGACAAGATTCTAATCTATTGCTCCTTTTTGTCCTCATAGTCTATAAATAAATTGTTCATTTATTTCAAGAAAACTGGTTCCCTGCCTGGTTTGAGAAAATTTTAAACACTCCTAGGTTTTCTCTGCTTATCTTAGTTATCTTTAAAACTGTTGTCCTTGGTTCTAAGTCTTCTGTAAATGTTAAACCTGGATACTGATTCTATATAAAATATTTAACTTGTAGCTCATTGAAAAACTCGAGTATCAAAACATCAGGTATAACAAACTAAAACTTAAGTTATTTAAAAATTGAGTTGTTACCCTGGTGGCACAGCGGGTTAAAGCACTGCACTAAGAAGCTAAAGCCACTGTAGCATGAGTTCGATTCCCGCCTGCCCCGGAGGTGACCACATGGCGTGG